ACCTCTTCAAACACCTTTAAATAATGCCATAAAACAATTCCTGGAGCAAAAGAACCCACAAAAGGATGGAGTGAAATAATTTTCCAGCCAAAGACAACTTAGAAGGTTGGCAGGAAAAGTTTGTCGCACCTGGATGAGAGTGAAGCACAATCCAGCCCAGGCTGTGACAGAACAGTTCCAGCCCCAGCAAACTAGCAGCAGGCCTTAAGAGCCATTGAATTAGCAGTGGCAGCAGCTGCTTCCAGAGCTCACAACCCACACCCAGTAAGGGGGTGAAACAACTGGTCAGAAGGAGACTATAGGGGTCTCTTTGCTAGCACTGAGTCAAGAGTCTGTTGCTTTGCCCATACTCAGATCCAGATCACAATCCTGGGTGGCAGTCCCAGGGTAAAGAGGAGCACTACTAGCATACCTAAGTTTGTGGCCACGGTGGAGCAGAGACCCTTGTCACAGTTCCAAGGCAGAAAAGAGTGCTTGTGGTCACTCATAGATCATTGCACAGGCCAGGAGAGTAGAAAACACACCTCTCCTTTGATCATACCACCTTGGAAGAACTGAAAACTTATAGGTTCCCTAGAAATATCTCTGAAAATAGCTGCACAAAACCCCTGAAACTTGGGACCGCGTGTCCTCCACACTAGAAGAAGAACCCTACTTTAACAAAGAGTTAAAAGTCAAGAAATAGGTAGGGAAAATGAGCAAACAACAGGAAAAAAATTGACCATAAAAAGTTACTATGGTGACAAAGAAGATAAAAACACACACACAGAAGAAGACAACAAAGTCAAAGTTCCTACATCCAAAGCATCCAAGAAAAATATGAATTGGTCCCAGGCCATGGAAGAGCTCAAAAAGGATTTTGAAAATCAAGTAAGAGAGGCAGAGGAAAAATTGGGAAGAAAAATGAGAGTGATGCAAAAAAAAATTATGAAAAATGAGTCAACAGCTTGGTAAAGAAGACACAAAAAATACTGAAGAAAATAACACCTTAAATAACAGACTAGGCTAAATGGTAAAAGATGTCCAAAAAGCCAATGAGAAGAAGAATGTCTTAAGAAGCAGAAGTGATCAAATGCAAAAAGAAGCACACATATTCACTGAAGAAAAAAACTCCTTAAAAAGGAAAATTGGTCAAATGGTAAAGGAGGTACAAAAGCTAACTGAAGAAAATAATTCCTTAAAAATTAAAATTGAGCAAATGGAAGCTAATTACTTTATGAGAAGTCAAGAAACAATAAAACAAAACTAAAAGAATGAAAAATAGAAGATGGTGTGAAATATCTCATTGGAAAAACAACTGACCTGAAAAATAGATTTGGGAGAGATAATTTTAAAATTATTGGATTACCTGAAAGCCATGATTGAAAAGAGCCTAGACATCATCTTTCAAGAAAATATCAAGGAAAACTGCCCTGATGTTCTAGAGCCAAAAGGTAAGATAGAAATTGAAAAAAAATCCACCAATCACTTCCTGAAAGAGATCCCAAAATGAAAACTCTCAAGAATATTATAGCCACCCCAGAGCTCCCAGGTCAAGGAGAAAATATTGCAAGCAGTCAGAAAGAAATGATTCAAGTATCGTGGAAACACAATCAGGATAACACAAGATTTAACAGCTTCTACATTAAGGGAACTGGAGAACTTGGAATATGATATTCTGAAGGTCAAAGGAGCTAGGATTACAACCAAGAATCACATACCCAGCAAAACTGAGTACAATTCTTCAGGGGAAAAAATATACATTCATTGAAATTGAAGACTTTCAAGCATTCTTGATGAAAAGAGCAGAACTGAATAGAAAATCTGACTTTCAAATACAAGACTCAAGAGAAGATAAACGGGAACTTAAGGAACTTAACAAAATTATACTGTTTACATTCCTACATGGGAAGATGATACTTATAACTCATAAGAACTTTCTCATTATTAGGGCAATTAAAAGGAGTATATATATGTATAGACAGAGGGCACAGGTTTGAGTTGAATATGAAAGGATGCGATCTTAAAAAATAAAAATAAAGGATGAGAGAAGAATGTACTGGGAGAAAGGTAAGGGGAGAGGTGGAATGGGGTAAATTATCTCACATAAAAGAGGCAAGAAAAAACTTTTACAGTGGAGTTGAAGAGGGAGAAGTTGAGGGGGATTGAGTGAACCTTATTCTCATCAGAATTGGCTCAAAGAGGGAATAACATACACACTTAATTGGGTATAGAAATCTATTTTATTCTACAGGAAAGTTGGAAGGTAAGAGGATAAGAGAAGAGGGGTGATCGAAGAAGAGTAGATTGGGAGAGGGGGCAGGAAGAAGCAAAACACTTTTGAGGAGGGACATGGTGAAAGGAGAGAGAGAATAGAATAAATGGGGTGGGGAAAATACAATGGAGTTAGCAATAATAACTGTGAAAAATTTGAAGCAAGTTTCTCTTATAAAGGCCTCATTTCTCAAACATACAGAGAACTGAATCAAATTTATAAAAGAGGCATTCCCCAATTGGTAAATGATTAAAAGATATAAACAGTTTTCAGATGAAGTAATCAAAGCTATCTAAAGCCATATGAAAAAATATTCTCACTCACAATTGATTGGAAAAATGGAAATTAAAACAATCCTGAGGTACTACTTTACATCTATTAGATTGGCTAATAGGATAGAAAAGGAAAATGACAAATGTTGAAGAGGATACAGGAAAATTGGGACACTAATGCACTGTTGGTGGGATTGTGAACTGGTTCAACCATTCTGTCGAGCAATTTGGAACTATGCCCAAAAGGCTATAAAACCATGCATACATTTTGACCTAGCAATACCACTACTATGTATGTATCTCAAAAGAGATAAAAAATAAAAAGGAAAGGACCTAGATATAAAAAAAATATTTGTAGCAGCTCTTTTTTGGTAGCTAAAAATTGGAAAATGAGGGGATGCTCATCAATTGGGGAATGACTGAACAAAATTGTGGTATGTGATTGTGATGGATTACCATTATGCCACAAGAAATGATGAGCAGGATACTCTCAGAAAAATCTGGAAAGATTTACATGAGCTGCTGCAAAATGAAATGTACCATGTAAAAGTTAATAGCAATATTGTAAGATGATCAGTTGTGAATGATTTAGCTTTTCTCAGCAATGTAATGATCCAAGACAACTCTGAAGGATTTGTGATGAAAAAATGCTAACTCTCACCGAAGATGGTGTCTGAATACAGATTGAAGCATACTTTCTTTTTACTTTCTTTATTCTTCTTGAGATTTATTTTTGGTTTATGTTTTTTTTCACAAAATGACTAATATTGATATGTTTTGCATGACTACACATATATAACCTATATTGAATTGCTTGCCTTCCCAATGGGGGGGGGGAGGGTGAGGAGGGAGGAAGAGAATTTGGAACTCAAAGTTTTAAAAACATGTTAAAACTGTTTTTACAAGTAGCTGGGGGAAAATAAAATACTAGACAAAAATTTAAAAGAGCAATAGTAATGGTTGACAATAGTTATATGCCTTTAAATTTGTCAAATGTCAATAAAAGTGGTTTATAAGGTCCAAATGTGGGTGACATCCACACAAACTCATGCAATAATATATTGACAGAGAAGCATCAAACAAATGGATTTATTTATAGAAACAGAAGGATTAATATAATGATCTAAGATCAGGTCATTACCATTAGAAATTATAGAAAGGTTAACTAACCTCAGGGAGTGCAGACTTAATGGCTGAAGCATATTATACATTGAAATGGTATGGAAATTAAGCAACATTGTAGGTTATAAACTTTTAGCATATGTCAGCTACCTAGAAAGACAATCCTGTAGGTAGAATTATACTCTAAAAACTCACTATTCTCTATAAACTAACAGCAACTAATTCACATACTACAAAGATATACCACCAAATGTCTTTTTTGTTTTTCTAGAGTAATTATTTAATATACTTACCCCCACCCCCAAATTACATGTTGAAACAATTTTTAACATTTTTTTTATCGTTTTGAGTTCCAAATTCTATCTTTTCCTCCCTGTCAACCCTCTCCCTTCCCTTTGAGAACTTAAAAAATAAACTGAACTGGAGCTGGCGCATCATTAAAAGTAAAATTATTGCCCACAACCAGTCAGACATGACAATGATTCAGAAAAAATTAAGGACAAAATCCTTAATAGATGTCATAATACCAATACTCATAACCTCAAAACTATGTGGAATAAAAGAATGGCTTTCAAAATATAGAGATCTAGTAGAAGAAACTAAAATCATGTAGTAATGGGCCAAGATCCACGTCATCCCTGTCAATCTATTTGCTACCATGTTTGTTCTAAAGAAGTGTCTAGAAGATATAGATAAATCCCAGTCTTCTCATCCAATTACACAAAGCAGTTATTTCATCCACCTGCACAATAGTTAGCAGAAAATAAGTATAAAAGAATAACACCAGGATAACAAAATGACCTGAAATTGCTTCTATCTGAACTCTGCTCAAAAAGGTAAGAAGAATGAAGTGATAAAAGTACTTACTATATGCCAGATGCAAAGCTAAGTGCCAAGGAAACAAACACAAGCAAAAACAATAATGAGCCCTAACCTCAAGCGCTATAACAATAATATCTTTGAACTTGCATATCATTTTAAAGCACTCTCACATTGCATTATTTTATCTGATCATCACAGCACTCCTATGCAAAACCAGGTATTATTTATTTCATTTTACAGATGAAAAAAGCTGAGATTCAGATAGATTAAGTGTCTAAGGTCACCCAGAGAGTAAATATCAGAACCAGGATTAAGACATAAGTCTTTTGACTTTTTTTCCCCTTCAGTTACCAACTCTTCCTTTTCACATCACTTTTCTTCTCCAAATCTAAAATTTTTTATGTTCTTTAATTTTCAAATTTTTTCCTCACATGCAGTGTCAGAAAAAGTGCACAAAAATATTTATTCTTGCATTACTTCCTTTAAAACTGCACTGTAGTTATATAGCTGTAGTTATAAGTAACATTTACCTTTGTTCATTTTTGCTAGTTGGAAAATAGTGGATTTTGCCAGATCATACTGCTTCATCTCCAGTAGATAGCGTCCTCTGTAAGGGGGAAAAAAAAGCTTTCAGACTAAATGAGAAAAAAGGCAAATTTAAGGAGTAACTTACAGAATAACCACTGCAATGGGTAAATGCATAAACATGTATATATATTCATAAAAGCATTGTATGTTTGTATATGATGTAAGTTTAGACCAACGCTTCTTAAACTGTGGAGCACAACCCCATATTGGGTTGCAGAACTGAATGTGGGTGTTTTGAAAAATTTGGCAACAGTAAAAGGTTTTTGAATGCACAACAACCAAAAATTAATTCAAAATCAAATGTGTAATGAATCCAAGGTGTTTCTGGCAGTGCTTGCCTGTGTAGCATTGTGTGACTTTACTGCAGTCTTGGTTCTGAACACACAACGTGTGCACTTTGCACTACGCATGCCATCACACCATGCAACACCAATTAATGCTGCCAGAAACACCTCATCTAAGATTTGAGACTATTGTATGTTATAAACTGCAATGCTTTTACTGTACATACATAGTTTTCTGCTCTTACAGAAACATAATAGTTTAATTATGGAAAATAAAGACTTTTAATATTTTCCTATCATCATTCCTCAACATGTAAGTATTAAATCAGTATATTTTGGATTGTATTGTGTTAGAATGCTTGATTTTAAAAATAAACATAAGTACTTAATTGTAGCAAGTAAAGACAAAAGCCCTGTAATAATATTTCTCCACCATCACCACTGTATCTGTAAGTGTGAACATCAATTTTTTAAATTAAGCACAAACAAATGTAATTTCATAAGCTAAAGCTAGTACTTATTTGAGAAATTATTAACAATATTTATTTATATTTTAGTACAAAAATATTTTTGGTTAAGAATAAGTGGCTAAATTTAGACAGAAGAGATAAAAGTACTGATGAAAATGTAACAGAGTCTTTGCTACCAGGTTGTCATACATCAAAATTGACAAGAAAAAGAAAATGTATCAAATAATTTTTGCAATATGGATTTACTTATAATAATGATGATGCTGTGGAAAAACCTCTTTGCTTAATTTGTAATGAAGTTTTGGCTGTGGAGAGCATGAAACCAGCCAAACTAAAATGACATCTTAGTACCAAGCATGCAGCATAATGCAATAAATCAAAGGAATATTTTGAATGACTTTTAAAATTTTTCAAATAAAGTAAAGCAATGTTTTAAGAAATTTGTTACTGCCAATGAAAAATATTTGCTTGCATCTTAATGAAACTTCTTATTTAATTGCAAAAAGTAAAAAAGCCCTATGTGACAGGAGAAAATCTTGTGTTACCTGCTGCTATTAAAATGTTAGAAATAGTCCATGGGAAAAATATGGGGATGAAATTTGCAAAATTCCTTTATCAAATGATACTGTTTCCAAAAGAATTTCTGAAATTAGTAATGACCAGTTCCAGCACCTTCTTACCAGGCATAAGGGCAGCCCAAACTTTGCAATTCAGTTATATGAAACAACTGATATTTCCAACATGTTGTCACTTTATGTAAGATATGTTTATGAAGAAAGCATCTATGACGAAATATCATTTTGTCCCCTTTTGGAAGGGCACATGAGAGGAGGAGATACATATCTTAAGGTTGATGAATTTTTCATAAATGAAAGTTTACAGTGGAAAAATTACATTGGAGTCTGTACAGATGGTGCTGGAGCAATCATAGGCAAGAATGTTGGATTTAGAGCAAAAGTTAAAGCTGGTGGCAGTGAACATATCATTTTTACTCACTACATGATCCATTAGAGGCATGCATAGCCAAAAAAAATCACCAGAGTTAGATGTTGTGCTTTGCAATACTATCAAAATCATTAACTTTATTAAAAGCTGAGCCCTTAAATCTTTGGAAAGACATGGACTCTGATTACAAAAGCTTATCACTACATGCAGAGATAAGTTGACTCTCAAGAGGATGAAATTTAAACAGATTACTGAAATTAAAAGATGAAATTGTTACATTTTTGACTGAACAGAAATCAAGTTTTTAAATTTTTTTTGATGACATGGCTTTCAAAACTGTTATTTATTGGATATTTTCAAAAACTTGATGATTTAAACATGTTGCTTCAAGGAAAAAATTATAACATATTTATGTTAAAAGATAAAATGGAAAGTTTTAATAAAAAAGTTAATGTGGAAGAGTAGGACAGAAAAAAGTTCTTTAGAAATGTTTACTACTCCAGATGATTTTATAATTGTAAATAATCTTCCCAAAGATTTAATTGTAAGAGCTATAATTGATCATCTGAACATGCCTAGAGACATAGTTTCAGAAATACTTCCCTTTAAGTTTTTATTCTAAAAAACTGAGTTGGGGTCATAAACCATACTCAATTGAAATAAAAAATGTCAGTCATCTGTTATTAAAAGTTCAAGAAGAATTTGCTGAGTTATCAAATGATAGGTTTAAAACTTGAGTTTCCAAAAAAAAATTGTTAAATGAATTTTGGCTTGGGATTAGGACAGAATTTCCAACAATTTCTGAAATTGCTTTAAACATACTTCTACCATTTTGTGCTACATATTTATGCAAAATGGTGTTCTCAGCATTGACGATTATAAAATCAAAATATCATTCAATTCTGAAAAAAGTTGAAGATGCTCTATTTCCTGCAGTATCAACTATTCCACCAAGATTTAATTATTTATGTAAAAATAAACAGGCACATGCATCTTATTAGTTTGCAAATTTGCTTTCATCTTTCATGTGCCTATCTACCCACAGTTACATAAAAATTTCTCAGGCGAAAAGGTGTTGCGAGTGGAAAAAGTTTAAGAAACCCTGGTTTAGACAGTGCAATTTACTTGAATGGAGAAATAGTAATAAAAGGAAATATTTATGAAGAGTGGTTTTGAAGAGATATCAAAGTTTTAAATCTAACTTTAATTTTAAACATAATTTTCCACATTCTATTTTATTTACAGTAAAAGTATATTTAAAAAAAGCAAAAAATTCAATTTTCCTACTCATTGAGGAGAGGAGAGAGCTTTGATGCACTGAAAGAACTATTTCAGTTGTAACATACTTATGAAGGGAATTTTCCCCACACAGGAAATAAAGTGTTTTATTAGATGTTCTAAACCAGTATTGTGAACTGAATGAATGAAATGGAACCATTTAAGAAAGACAAGCTAATCCTACCTCAGCATCTCTTGCATCTATTCCCTTTTGTCTACTCATAAGGCCACTGCCCTAGTTTAGGTCCTCATAGTCTTTCATCAGGTGCATTGCAAGAGCCTTGAAAATGGCCTCCCTGTCTCAAGTCTCTCTTCAATTAATATTCTGTATAGATGCAAAAATGATATTACTAGAGCATAAGTCTGACTCCAACACTTCCCTGGCTCACAAAGCTCTAGAGTCTCTTCATTAGCTCTACAACAAAACACTCTTCTGTTTGATATTTAATGCCCCTGCAAATATGGCTACAATGTACCTTCTAGACTTACTACATTTTATTTTCTTTCTCACACACTCTGTGGTTTAGCCAAACCATCTAGACATTGCCTCTCACAGGAACTCAGGTGGTACAGGGAGAGTGTGATCCAAGTTCAGAAAAAAGAAGTTTGTTTTGTTTTGTTTTGTTTTGTTTTGTTTTGTTTTGTTTTGTATTTTGGCTCTTACTATATGTTTTCAGGAACTATCCTTTTATATAAATTAATTTATTTAAATTAAAGGATTAAATTAAAGGTTAAAGGAAACTGGCACACTAATCACTTGGTAAATCAATGATATAAGTGACACTATCTGTAACTAATGCTTGATATTGAAAGAACACAACAGAATGGGGGCATTGGAAGAAACATATAAATTCTCAATGGTATTCCTAGAAAGGATAGCTTGAGGGGGAAATGTAGCCATTCACTACGGAACCAACTTGACAGTGCAAGTAAGTGCTGGAATAAAGACCCTCCAGAGCTTATAAAATGCTACATAAGCTTATGCCATTGTCAAAATGATTAAGTATTATCAGCATAGTATCAGAAAGGGCATTTGACTACTTGTAAGAAGATTCTTAATTCTTGTAGTCCCAGTTCTTCCATTAACTTGCCATTTAATTTCTCTGGGTTTCAGTTTCTTTATCAATAAAATGAGAAAAACTTGGTTGCTGTTCTCCATACTTGAAGACAACCAAAATGATATCACTATGTTGGGGTCAAGGTACAACATGTCTAACTGTGGCTGATCAAACCAAATCAAGCTTGGAAGGTTCTACCATAGGTCAGGCACACAAAGTCCATATGAACATTCGAGACGGAGATGTTTTTAGATGTGCATATCTTATGTTTATTTTGAGCTACTGCAATTCTGCTTTGCTCATAGAGCACAGCACCCTCTTCAATGTGGGCACACTGTGCTAGGTGGGCCTGTGCCGGTGTCTCTTGTGTCTCACAATTGATTCCAAAGTTCTTTAGAGAAACCTTGAGAATGTCCTTGTATTGCTTCTTCTGACCTCTGTGTGAGCTCTTGTCTTGTGTGAGTTTTCTGTAAAATAATGTTTTAGGCAAATGTATGTTTGGCATTTGAACAATACAGCCAGCCCATTGGAGTTGCGCTCTCTGCAGTAGAGTTTGAATGCTTGGCAGTTCAGCTCAAGAAAGGATCTCAGAATGTAATAGAGATAAGCTAGAAGCATTTCCAGTAAGATCAAGGGTAAAACAAGGATGTTCATTATCACCACTGTTATTCAATATTGTACTAGAAATGTTAGCTTTAGCTATAAGAGAAGGAAAAGAAATTGAAGGAATTAGAATAGGCAAGGAGCAAACAAAACTATCACTCTTAGCAGATGATATGATGGTACCCTTAGAGAATCCTAGAGAATCATCTTAAAACTATTTGAAATAATTAACAACTTTGGCAAAGTCACAATATATAAAATAAGCCCACATAAATCACCAGCATTTCTATATATATTACTAACAAAGCCCAGCAGGAAGAGATAGAAAGAGAAACTCCATTTAAGGTAACTGTAGACAATATAAAATATTTAAGACAAACC